CCACAAGGTTAGAAAAATTGTGCAACAACAAATGGACCTTACCGGCCAGTTGTCTAGTTTGAACGTAATATACGAAGTTCGTAAATTACATGCAACCACCCAAAAGAGAATGATGAAGTCGGCATCTAAACGATTCTTATCATCTCGCCATTTAAAGTATTGTTCCAAATTGTTTATTGCATTCATCAAACCTGCATACTATGCCTCCTTTTTCTGTCAATGCTAATGATGCATTGACATTTTTGTTCCGGCAAACTTTCTTTGTTGCAAAATTAGCACGCACGCAAGAGCAAATTTTGATTATGAACAATGGTTGTAAAAAAGTAGGTTCAGCAATATATTTCACATATAACATGGCGCACGCGCATTACGAAAGGAGCTGTCATTCTCCGGTAACACATTTTCGCTATCGGTTGCACTATCAGGAGCCGGAGTCTCGAAGAAGCGGCCATTTCTTCATCGCACTTTTCATTCTTTCTTTTTATTTAGCTAGTCAAAAGAGCCTCTAGCTTCAGGAGTGATAGTAGGCGAGAAGAATGTGATGAAGAGAATGTTGCAATAGCGTGGTGGCTTGCCCTCGCTGGTTTTGAACCTGTATGGGTAGCCTTTAGGTATGGGCGAACCTGTGTAAGTACTAGTACGCCGTTTCGGTCCTCAGCACGCCGGGGATTCGCTCGGAGGATTTCAAGCTGGACGGTTGTGCCCTCGCGATCTCCGACTTCAGCGTAGCTCCCGCCGACTGGTTCGCCCTCCGCGGTCTCCTGATGCCGTGCAGCTCTCGCATTGTGGCACCCCGCCCTTGGACTGCTTCGACCGGATCTCCACTTTCCTATCTCCTTCTTTTTTCCTCTCGCTGGCTGGCGGCTTCTTATCCATCTATTTTCCTTCTATTCTTTTTATTCCTTCTCTCTATATCTTTTATTCCCCATATCCCATTCCTCTGCTGACCTGTTGAGGTGTCCTCGTAAGGAGAGACAGTTACGGGTCGGCACCTTTCTTTTCTTTTCTTCTGATATAACCACAATCTCTCTCTCAGCACGCCACCGAGATGCCCCCCCCCCCCCCCCCACGGACCCGTACACTGGCCGGCAAGGTCACCCGACCTTATCCCCCTTGGCTTTTTTTTGTGTGTGTGTGTGCGGGGCTACATTCACGTATTCAACACGGAAACGACGACCCCAAAAGCCTTGCAGGAGAGGACAACTGAAATATGCCATGTCATTTCGCCAGTCGTACTCAAACTTTCTCAAAATGTTCCAGTGTTGTATCGCAACACAGGATGACCTACTTGAGTACGTTTTCCGAAAGCGCGTTTCGCCGATTCAACATAACACCAATAAAAAAGAAACGGTCTACGGCCATCGAGGTGTCCGTTATTCCACGGTGATCGGCGTTTTCAAAAGGTTCTTTTTTTTTTCGGTCATATTCATTTTCCTTATAGCTATGGCGCAATGACGCAACCGTTTCTTAAAGCAGGGCAAACGAGACTCACTGCGTCTGCAGTGCTTATCGTAATCATGAATCAGCGCGAGGGAAGCGATGCCGCTGGCGTAAATCATGGCCACATTGGAATAGACCGTAATCAGTACAATCTACAGCCTCATTATATATCAAGACGAACAGATCACGAGCCCAAGGTTAGAGAATATACCTGCAGGACTAATCTTTTTTTTTTTTTTAAGTACTCTCTCCTCTAACAGTTTCTGAATGGAATCGTCTGCCTCATGACGCGGTCAGCATACTAGATAACGAAGCTTTTGCGGCCGCTCTTTGACATCTCATTCTGCTTCGGCTGCAGTTGAATTTTGTGCAATGTTTTGTTCTTATCACATAGTTTTTTTATTTTTCATGTTCATTTTTTCTATCTTCGTCTATATAGGTTAGATTATCTTTGTCATTCATATGCATTTACAAGAGTATTATGCCACTATTTCCCCATAGTAATTATGGTTCAAATTCAGTTTTTTTTTCTCTGTCAATATTCTTAAAATGTATGATGTATAAATTCTCTGTGTAACCCCCCCCCCCCTTTGTAATGCCTGAATGGCGATGTGGGTATAAGTGTAAATAAATAAATAAATAACCAATGTCTTCGCCTTCCACCTACCGTCTTTTAGGCGGCGGTACAACCGGCTAAGAGTGACGTTAGTTCGTACGCACGAATTTCGAGAGCACTGCAATTGCGGCGCGCAAGCACGTACGTCACTTTTTTTTTTTTATTCGGTGACCATCCGCAGCATTCTGAAAAACACCAATACTGAATAGATATAAGGTTAGAAACTGTTTAACTGGGTGTTTGACAGATCAATATACGTCTTTCCAATAGGAAATATTTACCTACCTTTACTGCTTTCAAAGTTAATTAATTAATCTTCACTAGTTAACCATTTAGGTGGAACACGAAAAACAGTCTGACTAACTCCGTACGAGGGTAAGAGAAACGCATTTGCTATCATCTTCCGGCGCATCGGAGAATTTTCAAAACCATGCTAAAGATATCTGGGGCACCCTGTATATATATTATTGAACTGCAAAAACATGACGTAACCTATAATACTGTACTGTAAATGTGAGAATCTTCGAACCTACCTATATATAGGAGAAAACCAACCGGCCTCGATTACGGTTGGGCTCACGAGTGCGCTGGCCAATACCGCAGCGTGCTTCATGAGAAGATTTGAGACTGACGCCAAATTCAGCAAATATCTATGGTCCATTAAGTTATGTTTCACGCTGACGAGTCACCTACAATTTTTTCACAGCATATTTTGTTATTACGGATGGCTGAATAAATGTGCATAATCCTTGCTCGTGAATAGGCCGCTTCGTGGAGCTTGTTCCTTCATTATTTTCAGCTGTGAATCCTGCAGACAAGTTTCCAGTGTAGCAGCATTTTTTTTTTCCGAGCCATCACATGGAATTCGTAAACATTTTCATCGAAACGCCCGTACATGCATTCACAGAATGTTTCGATAGGTCAGAACTGCCATAGATATGAACAAGCTCTAATTTTTTTTCTGAATCAGGATAGCATTAGCAAAGTCGACCAGCCGTCTTCGCAATAAATATATAGCGGATGGCACGAAAGTTGTCAAGGGAATTCAATTTTCTGCACTACACTTACGTGGGAATTGTATAGAGAGCAAAAAGTAGAGACCAAAAAAAAAATTGCAAACCTGGGTACACACCATGCGATTACTAGGCTTTCCCACAAAAAGCGGACGTTTCATCAGGCTGTCCGTTTCACGACACCCATCATTAGAATGCGTTACTGACTGAAATGGCGCTTATTAATTTAACCCCCCCCCACCCCCCCAAAAAAACGTATGGAATGCAGTCTGTCCTCAATGTAAAGTTATCAAATATAGGCCGGCGTCAACAAAGAGTAGGACGTGGAAAATGTGACATGGTTCAGTCACCGGAACGCTCCCGATTAATTTTGATGATATGCCGAAACCTTGATTATCTGTTTATTGATTCCTTACGTATGATGTAAACAAACGAGCATGCCTTATTTCATTCTTATCGAATACAGTCACCTGGCAGGTGATTCGGCCCCACGACCAATTCGAATTATCAGTCCAAATTTGAGAATTAAGGGCACCTTTGTTTTATCTCTCACGCACGTTTCACAATGTGCAGCCTTAAAGCAAGAGTGAATAGAGAATCACGCAATGCATTTCGTTAGGTGCTGTTTTTCGCTGGCTGACTGTTTCTTTAATATGTTCAACAATTATAGCTTCAAAAGCTCCTTTCTGGTAACAGCTGAACCAGTTTAGTTCAACGTAGCTTTTGAAACTTGCCCCGCCGCGGTGGTCTAGTGGCTAAGGTACTTGGCTGCTGACCCGCAGGGCGCGGGTTTAAATCCCGGCTGCGGCGGCTGCATTTCCGATGGAGGCGGAAATGTTGTAGGCCCGTGTGCTCAGATTTGGGTGCACGTTAAAGAACCCCAGGTGGTCTAAATTTCCGGAGCCCTCCACTACGGCGTCTCTCATAATCATATAGTGGTTTTGGGACGTTAAACCCCACATATCAATCAATCAATCAAGCCTTTGAAACTTCAGTTATCTCATTCGCGCGATGGGAGTGCTGAACACCGCTTATGCGCGGAAGATACGTCTACGACAGTGACGAATTGCAGTCATGTAAAAAAAAAGAAAAAAAGCAAACTCTGCTGCTCCCAATAGTCACCATGTTGGGAGTGTCCTTTTGAGGAATGAAGGAGGAGTCAGGCATGCGTCGACGTACATTGCACTCGCTCGGTGCTTGCATGATGCGCATGAGGCGCGAAGATTGAGTGCGAGATTGAGCGAACCCTAATAATCATATCTGTCACAACGCGATCATCAACATTGTGCATCGAAGCTGGGAGAAGCGTCTTTACGGGCGTCTGCATGGCATCGTGTACGACGTACGGAGTTGTGAGAGGCATAATCGTAGCGTTTTTGGAGGGAAATAGATTCTATCGGCTGCTTTGGTCGTGAGCGTTTCGAAACAACGAACTGCGCACGATCGCCGCCGCCGATGTGCAAATATGATACTATTACGGCACCCTTTACGCGAGGCCGTGCTAAAATGAATAAAAAAAAGGGGGGGGGGGAGGCATTGGAGTGGAGAGAGCGGAATACTGTTGTGAAACTTAAATGAACCACGCTCAAGTTACGCCAACCGCAAACTTGTAATGTAACCGGATCGAATGCATAGCTTCGCGCTGCATCACAAACTTGGCGAAGGCACCCGGCAAAGGAAGCAGCACCCGGCAAAGGGTGGAACATGGCAAATTATACCGAGGAGTATGAGGGGCCGCGCAGTTTCTTTATGAGATACGCTTGCATTCAGCGATCCCGCCGTGTAGGGCAAAAAAAAAAAAGAAATATTCGCTCGCATCAACGGGCCGGACATCCTCCCGTGCTCCATCCGGCGCGATGTCGCGACAGCGTCGGATGAGGCGGGCGGCCCACGTGGCTTCCATATGCGGACCCTGGCGTGGGAACGCTCACCTGGCGCGTAGTCGTAGTCGTATCCAGCGGTGGCCGACATGTCCAGCTTGAGTGTAATCCGGCCAGCAGGAGCAACGGCAGAAGGTAATCACCCTGATGGAGCCGCGGGTTGTTGCCCGATGCGTGCCTCTCTTCTACCCAGCGGCTGCGGTTCTGGAGCTGCGTGCGCCTGCCGTGCCGGTTGGCCCTCGCTTTGCGGCTCCCCGCTACCACGCGCGGTTATGTTCGCAGGGGAGCAGACGATTTTTTCCTGGCGTCTCGCTGGAAATGCTCCGTGGCGCCATCTGTGTCTCGTCCACAGACACAGAGCCATCCGCTTGTGCTGCCCGCGACGCACAGATGCGAGGGCTAGGACAAATAAACTTGCAGACTCGTTTGTCTCATGTCTTGTCTTCTTCCTTCCTTCCTTCCTTCCTTCCATCCTTCCTTCCTTCCTTCCTTCCTTCCTTCCTTCCTTCCTTCCTTCCTTCCTTCCTTCCTTCCTTTCTTTCTTTCTTTCTTTCTTTTTCTCTTTATTTCTTTCTTTTTTCTTTCAGTGGGCATAAACAATGGCATAAAAGTACTTACACAACTAAATGCAAGAAACTGGTGCAAATCAATCGACAGTTACACTGAATGGTGGTCCTTTGTTGAAACATACCGATAACCTAACGTCTTATATCTAGCTTCTGAGACACCTTTCATGGTGGTGGTGTGTCGAATCCCCTTCATTTGTTGCATAGAAACACACGCTCAAGGCCCTTAGACACGTGTCACATAGCCTGTCACGGTTGCGCAGGATCCAACCTCTTAATGGAAAAAAAAAACTACATTCCGTACTGTTCTATCCAACACAATGCTTTTTTCATTTAAAGCCACGACGGATTCTCGACTAGCCTGCTAATGGATGTCTAAGACACTACCGAGACCTTGACAATACAGTACAGAATTGCTGAGCAGCCACTTCACGCACGTGTTTTTAGATGTCAGAGTCATGTCCGACATTTGAACTCTCTCAATTTTATAATGGTGAAAAAAAAACAGTCCTATATATCCTGGCGTGGCTATTTAGAAAACTTTAGCCGCTGACTTTTCACTGCAAAAAGATAACCTGACTTCGTTTTGTGTAATTTTAACGAAGAAATCTCTACGCAAGTCACTTTCTCTTAAACGGGCACAAAATAATAACAATGACTTACTTGAGACTGACCAACTGCACTCTGAGAAATCTAATGCCATAATTTTCGCTAACATAAGTTCAATATTAGCAGAGAAAATCAAGGTTGAAGTTTCATTCTTAAATTTGGCGCTGAAACCTGCACGCATGACGTCAGAAATTTCAAGACACATTTTTTGTTATTTCCGTGAAATTAGCTCCATGCGATTTCCTGAAACTTTGTATGCCAGGTTTTTGCACCCACAGATGACCATGTCATTTACGTTCATCGATTACGAGCAACGTAGCGCCCAGTAGACGCCTTTAACATCCATGACGTCACGTTGTTTGGTGCGTGAATCTTACCCACATTTTTTTGCGCGTTTTCTCGCCTACCAAGCGTCACATCGCGATTAGAGGGGTGTTTTCGTGGTTGTGAAATTGTACTTCCCTAATACGCGAAAAGTCGTTTTGCTCTTTCATCATCATCATCATCGTCAGCAGCAGCAGCAGCCTGACTACATCCACTGCAGGACAAAGGCCTCTCCCATGTTCCGCCAGTCAACTCGGTCCTGTGCTTGCTGCTGCCACTTTATGCCCACAAACTTCTTAATTTCATCTGGCCACCTAACTTTTTGTCTGCTCCTAACAAGTTTGGCCTCTCTGCGAACCCAGTCAGCTACTAAATGACCAATGGTTCCGACCCATGTCAATTTCCTCTTCTTGATTTTAACCATAGTATCCTTAACCCCTGCTTGTTCCCTGATCCACTCTGCTCTGTTCTTGTCTCTTAAGGTTACACCTATTATTTTCCGTTCCATCGCTCCCTGCGTCGTCCTCAAGCCCTCTTTGTAAGTCTCCCGGTTTCTGCTCCGCATACGTACCGGCAAGATGCTTGAGGGGTAGTCGCAGTCTACCGGTCACGATTTGAGAGTTCTTGCCAAATGTGCTCATTTCCTGTCTTATTCTTCTAGTTATTTTAATCTCGTGGTTTGGCTCCGTGGTTATTATATTCCTGTCCGAAGTAGACTTAGTCTTTTACAAATTGAAGTGCACTATTACCTATTTCGAAGCGCTGTTCTCTTTTGAAGTTGTTGTACATTACTTTCGTTTCCTGCAGGTTAGTTTTAAGACCTACTTTTCTGCTCTCCTTGTCTAACTCAGTAATCATGAGTTCCACATCCCCTAAGTTACTCAGACATGCATCATCGTTGAAGCAGAGGTTACTAAGGCTCTCTCCATTAACTCTTATCTTTAGCTCTTTCTATTTTAGGCCTCTGAAAACCTCCTGTAAGCACGCGGTAAAGAGCATTGGGGAGATTTTATGCCCCTGCTTTATATCCTTCTTGATTGGTATTCTGTCGCTTTCCTTATGGAGCACTATGGCGGCAGTTGATCATCTTACAAGGGAGTTTATAGCGACGCAAGGTAGAAGGCAGACAGCCGGTACGGACACAAATACTCGAGCAGTCCAGCATCGACAGCTCGTGCACACACTCCCGCTTCGCACTCAGAGATGGTCCCACTGGTCATTGTCTTGCGAATTCCCCACTACGACGAGCCATCCTGGCGACTCAAGGTTACGGGAGAACAGGGGGCTCGTAGCAGGACTTGAGGCGACTGACGTAGACCTTGTCACGACCAAGGCGGCACTTGTCCGTGGATGGCTTGAGCGGTTTAATCACATAGGTGACAGAAGAAGGGTGCTGCATAACGCGGTAAGGGCCAGTATACTTCGGTGCAGACTTGGGAGTCAGTCCAGGAGAGTGGAAAGCCAGTCGGAGCCGCACGAGAGAACCGACGGGGAAAGTGTCCTGGACAAGATCACGGTCATGGCGATCTTTTTGGAGGGCTTGACTATCGGCTGTGAAAGACCGTGCAAGCTGATGGCACTCTTCAGCATGTTCGGCCATTCAGAAACTGGCCTGAACTCGGAGCCATCGGGATTGTATGGGAGAATTGTGTCAAGTGTGCTACATGGGTCACTACCATATAAAAGAAAAAATGGAGAAAAGCCTGTTGTAAATTGAATCACCGTATTGTAAGCGTACGTCACGAAAGGAAGAACGACGTCCCGATTGGAGTGGTCCGAATCAATATACATAGCGAGCATGTCTCCAAGGGTTCTATTGAAAGGTTCCGTTAGGCACTTCGTCTGAGGGTGGTAGGCTGTTGATGTGCGGTGTACCGTACGGCACGAATGTAGGAGCTGCTGCAGAATTTCGGACAAAAATACGCGACCTCTGTAACTCAGAAGCTCTGCTGGTGCATTATGACGAAGAACAAACCAATACAAGATGAAGGTTGCAACTTCACGAGCACCAGCCGAAGGTAGTGCTGCCGTTTCGGCGTACCTTGTCAGATGGTCGGCAGCCACAATCACCTATCGATTACCCCCACCAGAGCACGGTAGCGGGCCGTATAGGTCAATCCCAACACGGTCAAATGGGCGTGTAGAACATGGTAAAGGCTACAGATGTCCGGGTGAATGAGGAAATGTCTTGCGCTGCTGACACAGGCAACATGTGTTTGCGTACAAACGTGTACATACCCCGCCAGTAGTAGTAACGTTGGAAGATCCACTCATACGTTTTTAGTGTACCGGCGTGTGCGTGTTGCGGTTCAGCATGAAAATATTCACTGATATCAGACCGCATATGGCTGGGTATGACTAGCAGCCATTTACGACCCGCCACTTGATAGTTGCGACGGCATAGCAGGGCATCCCGTTCGGCGAAATGCATTGCTTGGTGGCGAAGAGCACGCGGGTAACCGGAAGTTGATGTGCCAGAAAGCATATTCAAGAGCGATACAATTCAAGGGTCCTTAACCTGTTCAGATGGCTTGTCTGTGACGCTGACGGCAGAGATGGGTAGATTTCTTTCATGATGTTTATATACGCTTCATCAACGCCCTAATTCCATAGTGTCTGCATGACAGCTGATTTTTTAACTGACTAAAACGACTTCTGGTAATCTATGAAGACTGTGTATAGTGATTAGCTGTATTCTGAGCATTTCTCTATTACCTTATTGATAGTATTAATGTGGTCGATTGTTGAATGGCCTGTTCGAAATCCTGCTTGTTCCTTTGGTTGACTGAATTTTAATGCTGTCTTAATTCTGTTAGCAATTATCTTTGTAAATAGCTTGTGTAGGACGGAGAGAAAGCTGATCGGCCTGTAATTCTTCGAGTTCTTGTCATCTCCTTTCTTATATATTGAGATGATGTTTGCATTCTTCCAAGATTCTGGTACTCTTCCCGTCAGGAGACTCCTCGTAAACAGGGTGGAAATCTGTCCTCCATCTATTAGCAGATCTGATGTTACCTGATCCTCACCTGCCGCTTTGCCTCTTTGGATGCTCTATGAGGCTTTACTGACTTCTTCTATCATTACTGGTGGGGTGCCATCTGGGTTCCTGCTGGTCCTTATAGTAAGGTCGTGGTTGTGCCGGCTACCATAAAGATTTCCGTAAAACTCTTCCGCTATTTTAACTCTCCTATTCATATTGGTAGTTACTTTGCCTTCCTTGTCTCCCAGTGCAAACATATGATTTTTGTCTATCCCAAGTTTTCTCTTCACTGCTTTGACACTTCCTCCGTTCTTCAGAGCGTGTTCAATTTTCTCCATGTTATACCTTCTTACATCGGATACCTTACGCTTATTAATAAATTTTGAAAGCTCTACCAACTCTATTTTGTCTATTGCACTTGAGGCTTTCATGCTTTCACGCTTGTTAATAAGGTTCTTCGTTTCCCGGGATAGCTTGCCAGTGTCCTGTCTAGCTACAATACCTACAACTTCCACCGCACACTCCGTAATGATACTCGTCAGATAATCATTCATTGCGTCAACGCTTGGGCTGATTTTCTCGATAAGATCCGAGTATCTGTTCTGAAGTGAGACTAAATTCTTGTACTTTACTGACATGACTTGGCCGCAAATAATACGCACACAAAGTAAAGAAACACTCAACGACAAGCACAAGCGGCACTTCCAACTAAAGTAGACCGGGCGAAAAAATAGACTTAAGTAACAACATACAGACATGCGCAGTCTTCACACAGCCTTACGCTAT